AAAATCTACAGAAATTCTCATCCCTCAGCAGAATAAGGACGCATCAACATTAATGAAGGAGCCAAGACTCCATCCCCAGAAAAGAAAAATCAGATCCCCAGGAAGTCAATTAATTCCATGGTGGATCACCAAAGAAAGAAGGAAAAAGCCAGCGTAATAAAAAGAGACTAAAAAGTAAAAAGGCTTACTCATTATCCCCATAAAAAAGTTAGATTTCAAAATCGCAATAAAAAAGAGATAAATCACGAAAAAAGGCGAAATCAACCCTAACTTTTAGGTTATCAATAAAATCCCTAAGTGAGTCACCTCAGAAAAGGGAAAATCAACGAAAAAGAAGGAATCGGAAATCCCAATGAAACAAGAGTATCGGCAAAGCCAACTCATACCAACAACATCCAACAAGGAGTCAAAACTCCATTCCCTCAAGGGGCAAATCAAAATCAGATCCCCAGGAAGTCAATTAATTCCCCGGTGGATCACCAAAAAGAGAAAGATCATCCCCAGTGAGCCTACTGCAAAGGCAAAACTTCAGATTCATCCTCAGAATGCCATTTGCCTACGCATAGGCAAGACCTGGCAAGCAAGAGCCAGCATCCCCATAAGGGAATATCAGCCTAGTCAGAGGCAAAACAAAATGAAACCAAAAGTCTTCACTTCCGATGAAGCATCTGCCTACTCAGAGGCATTACCAAAAACTCAATGGAGTATCTTCCTGTTCAGAGGCACCATCAAAATCAGCAAATTTCCAATGGATATCCGCCTACTCAAGAAGTGTCACCAAGATCAACAAATCCCTAGAGGATTTCTGCCTACCTAAGAGGCACTCATCAAAAATCCCTGAAAACCAGCAAAGTCGGATGACCACTATCAAATGATCAAAAACAAAGAATCCCCAGCAAACAACATGCTGGATGGCTATCGGGAAAAGCCAAAAAACAAAAATCCCCAGCACACCGGAAGACTTTACCAGAAAGGTCCAACAACATTTACCAAAACAGAAATCACTCCCCATGGAGTGGGCGCATGAGCTAGAGCAATAAGCCGCCATCACTGCCAAAGGATCAGCTACCGCAAGAAGGAGCATCCGGGGGCACAACACCAGATGGGGGTGTATACTCATCGGGCCTTACAAAAGGAGGCTTACCGGACGGGGGTTCATACTCGTCAAACACTAGATAGGGGTGTATACTCATTAGGCCTTACAAAAGGGGGCTTACCGGGCGAGGGTTCATACTCGTCAAAACAAGATGGGGGTTCGTACTCATCAGCCGAAGGGATCAACTATCGCCAGAAGAAGCGTCCTAGAAGCACACTTTTTTCCGGAAGATCAACCGCCACAAGACGGAGCATCTGAAGGACAACCGGGCAAGAGGGTCAACTCCTTTACCCTCCAGTCGATCTCCTTGGCACAAAAGGCCAACAGTCGACTAGTCGGGTAAAGGGGGGGCAGCTGTAGACCCTAAATCTTGCCCGACCTCATAATAAAGACCAGAAGACCTCCTTTTCGAAGATGGAAGAAGCCTAAGAAGCCACTAGGAGAGACTATTAGGCCCCATACTAGGATAGGAGGGTTTTCTGGCACAAAAATAAGGATTTTCGCCTTTGAGGGTCGAGACCGCCGTCTCGCCTTGCACAAGTGGCAAGACGGCCGTCTCGTTACCTGCAAATGGCGAGACCGCCGTCTCGTTTGGCGAGATGGCCATCTCGCCATTCCTGCAAGGCGAGACGGCCGTCTCGATTGGCGAGACGGCCGTCTCGACCTTGTCAGACGAGACGACCCATCTCAACCTGACAGGCACGAATTCCTATAAATAGGGGCTCCATTCCTCTCATTCCACACAATTCTTCACTTCTCTCTCTAAACTTTTCTTCAAATTCTCTTTCTAGAACCCCTCCGAAGCATTTCCGGAGTTTTTGAGAGTCTTCTAGAGTGTTTTTTGAGCGTTTTCGGCATTGTAAAGAGCGAAGGGCTGCCAAAAAGCACCCTAATTTTTAAAGAATTAATAGAAAGCTTGCCTCGGAGGTTTCTATACTCTCTCTCTCTACTTTACTGCTTTAATTTTAATTATGCAATAGACATTAGGGCCATGTAGTCATAATTTTTAAATTCCACAAAATAAAAGGGTAAAAGCATATTTTCACCGGTTTATTTATTTAAAGTAGCTGGCCTATCATAGGGAACCCGAAAGGGGTGTCGTAAGGGAACTAACACTTCCCTTACACGTAACTAACTCCCTTACTCAACTCTGGTTCTAATGACCAAAGTTGGTTTTTCAAAAACCAACGCCTTTTTACTCCTTTTCCGATGTTTCCGGTAAAAACATCGGTGGCGACTCTAGAAGAACCCTTCAAAATTAGTTCTTGGGTTAGCCTGGTTATCGGACAATCCAAGAGCGCCTTTTCGAAAACCTCGCCGCTAGGTTCAGCCCGGTTATCGGACAACCTAAAGGCGTTGTAACCACACCAATAAAAATGCGAAAAATGGAAAGTAAGAACCATCGCGTCGCTCCGACTGCCTCGTTTTGACGGCTACGACATATATGCAACTGTAAGTTGTCTTTCTATTCTTTCATCTTCATAAAACTTATCAAACTCATGTGAGTTATATTCTTTTCCTCGATCACTTCTTAGAACTTTTATATATCTTCCACTTTGTTTCTCCATGAGAGCGTTAAACTTCTTGAATATTCCAATGACATTTGATTTTTCTTTGATGAAGTAAACCTAAGTCATTCTAGAAAAGTCATTGATGAAAAGGATAAAATACTTATTGTTGTTTAGTGATGGTTTCCTCATCGGTCCACATATGTCTATATGGATTAATTTCATCAAATCTTTTGCTCTCCATGCTTTGTCGGTTGAAAATGGTAATTTATGTTGTTTCCCAAGAAGACATCTTTCACAAGCCTCATTATTCTCTTTCAGGTATGAGTGACCTCTCATCATATTCTTATGATGTAATAGCTTCAAAGCTTGGGTGCTGAAGTGTCCAAAACTTCTTATGTCAAAGCCATGAATCATGAACTTGAACTTTTATGACAATATTAGTAGTATATTTGAAGCTTATAGGAAAGCTTCTATTTCTTTTCTCCATTTTTACTTCTCCTATCTCTCATCTTTTATTGTCATAGATTTTGCATGTATCTCCTTTAAAATTAAGAGAGTAGCCTTTGTCCATCATTTGGCCAATACTCAAGAGATTTTCTTCAAAATTGGGAACGAGCAAGACATCTTTAATAAGTCTTGTACCTTTCATAGTTTCCATTGCAATGGTGCCTCTTCTTTTTTACTGTACTAGTGTGTCATTTCCCAATTGTACTTTCACTTTGATAGAGTCATCAATGTCCTTGAAGATGTTTTCGTCTTTGGCCATGTGATTATTGCGTCCACTATCCAAGTACCAACTTCTGCTTGTTTCATCATTGGAGTCTTGGGCAGCATAAAAAAGATGTTGCTGAAGGTCATGTTCTACAACTAAATTTGCTTGATACTTATTTTTTATGCAACAATTTATCTCCATATGTCCAAACTTCTTGCAATGTTGGCATTGAAATTTTCCACGATGCCAACAATCTTTCTCTAAGGGACTTGACTTTTTGCAGATGCCATAAGGAGGAAATTTATCTTTCCTAGACTTGGAGAAATTTCTAGAATTTTCTTTATTTCTAGAAATTTCTTCAATTTTCTTTCCTCCAATTTCTTTATTTTGATATCATAATTTGAGTTTTGATTGAAATGCATTTTCGATCTTTATTATACATTTTCAATCTTTGCTCATATGCTTTAAGAGACCCTATTAGTTCTATCATCGATAAGGTAGATAAATCCTTAATTTGTTCAATTGTTTTCATAGCTACATCATATTTGTAAGGAATAAAACTTATAATTTTCTTAACTATTTTCTTGTCCAAAATATTTTCTCCAAATGCTCTTATTTGACTAATTATCTCTTTAATTCTAGTATAATAATCCTTAATGGTCTTAGACTCCTTCATACTCAATACTTTAAACTCACGTCTTAGTGTTTGAAGTTTAATGATGCGTACCTTTACACTTCCTTGAAACTCCTCTTATAGTGTGCTCCGTGCCTCTTTCGTACTTGTGACATCCATTATTCTTGGAAAAATTGCATCAACCATAACTTGTTGTAAAAGGTATAATGCCCTTGATTCTTTTTGCTTATTCTCTTTCAACTCCTTCTTCTAAGTCGTTGTTTAATGTAGAAACGTTTGTAGGAGTAATGAAGCCATTTTTTACAATCTCCCACAAATCTTGAAAGAAAAAAAGAAAAAAGTCTTCATTTTAATGATCCAAAAGTCATAATTTTCTCTTGTGCAGATGTGTAGAGGAATAGATGAAGAAGGATTGACATTAGTCATTGGTTGGAATTAGTATGAAATATAGTATGAATTTTTTAATGTAGTTGGATTGTATCTACGTCCAATAGATGATCAGACGTAGTTCCGGTACCACTTTTAGTATTTTAAAAAGAATGAGAAAGATGATTTATTGTTTAGTATCGATAGTTGTGTAGAAAATAATTTTTAGAAGGAGGTGGACAAGTAAGAGAATGTTAGTATGAGAAAATAGATAAGTCTATATTTTCCTAACTCTAAAATTATTTATCTTCTACTTTAAAATATTTCTAAAATATTCTTATAATTCTAAATATTACTCATATGAAGTTTCTAATTCTAGTAATATCTAGAACTTCATTTTCTAGATATTTCTAGAATTTGCAACACCTTTCAACACAATTGAAAAGGCAACCTTATCGGGTGCAGCCGTAGTCCTCCATGTATTTAAACACATGTTTTTTCTTTATAGGTAATTCGAACCTCACATAGCATCAGACAAGGGCGAAGAACATGTGAGCAATGAGTTTGACGTCATGAGCCTTTATGACATTGATGACATGCCACATGAGGTCAAAATGTCTCAATTTTCCGACAAGGTTGAGCATCTGATTGGAGGAAGGGGATGTCATGGCAGACGACAACCTTGTCTATATACACAACAAAGTTCACGTCCTTGTTGTGCTTCTCGAGGCAAGACCCCACTTCCGAGAAGCAGAGGAGCTTCATCAAGGCGTAGAATTCTAACATTCATGTGGCGAGTGTGTTTCACAAAAGTCATTGATTCCATCACATCCAATGATAGCGCTTTCGATAAAAGAAATTGTAAGTCAGAAATACTAGTTGAATATTTGGCAAGCGTACCAAAATTATCAATCATAGCATAGTATTTCGATTAAATAAAAGTTGATCCCACGAGGAACGATTTCACTGGAATTTTCAAATCATATGCTTAATAAGTGGATTAAAGCAAATTGGGTTTTTCATAAAGATTAGGGTTGAAAATAAATGACAAAGAACTGTAAAATGTTTCTAGAAAATATCAAATAAAAGAACTTAGGATTGGTTTCATTCTTTTTCCCTCTTTTGTATAATGGCTAAGTCAATTAAGAACATTAATTAACCTATCAATGTTGATGCCACCTACTCAAATCATTCATGTTGATTCCTCACACATGAAATTCATAAGAAAACCTAGTAAATGTTAATTCCTCACACAATTAAGAGATTTTCCAGTATTAGGTATGTAGACCCCAAATCTTGCCCGGCCTCCAAATAAAGACCAGAAGACCTCCTATTTGAAGATGGATGAAGCCTAACAAGCCATTAGGAGAGACTATTAGGCCCCATACTAAGATAGGAGGGAGTTTCTGTACGAAAAATAAGTTTTCTCGCCTCTTTGGGACGAGACCGTCGTCTCGAAATCGAGACCGCCGTCTCGCCACCTGCGAATGGTGAGACGGCGGTCTTGCCACCTGCGTAGGACGAGACGGTGGTCTCGTTTGGCAAGACGGCGGTCTCGACCCTGTCAGACGAGAACGGGGGTCTCGCCACTGTCAGGCGCGAAAACCTATAAATAGGGGCTCTCCCCCCCTCATTTCAACACACCTCAAGCATTAGCTCTGCCTTCTCTCTAAAAACTTCTCTCTAGAATCCCTCCGACGCATTTCTGGAGTTTCTGAGTGTCTTTGAGAGCTTTTTTCGGCGTCCAGAAGAGTTTCCGGCGTCTTGTAGAGTGAAGGGCTGCCAAAAAGCACCCATTTATTTTAAAGAAATATAAAAACAAAGCTTGCTTCGGAGGTTTAATTTCTCCCTCTCTACTTTTATTGCTTTAATTTAAATTATGCAATAGATTAGGGTCATGTAGTCGTAACTTCAAATTCCGCACAATAAAAAGGGCAAAAGAGTATTTTTCGGTTTATTTATTAACATAAAAAGTTGGCCTATCATAGGGAACCCGAAAGGGGCGTAGTAAAGGAACTAATACTTCCTTTACCACGTAACTAACTCCCTTACCCAACTCTGGTTCTAATGACCAAAGTTGGTTTTCGAAAACCAATGCCTTTTAAAAACCTTTTCCGATGTTTCCGGTAAAAACGTCGGTGGCGACTCCACAGAACCCAAAAACAAGTCCTTGGGTTAGCCCGGTTATCGGACAACCCAAGGAAACCTTTCGAAAACCTTGCCCCTAGGTTAAGCCCGGTTATCGGACAGCCTAAAGGCGTTGTAACCACCTATAAAAAATGCGAAAAACAAAAGGGTCGAAAAAACCATCGCGTCGCTCCGACCGCCTCTTTTTCAGACGGCGGCGACAAATGGCGACTCCACTGGGGAAGCCTCGAGAGTTTATCCCATTTAGTGATGGGCCGGCTTAAATAATAAATAAACCAAGAAAATAACACTTTTACCCTTAACTTGTATTATAACATGTTTTAATGTTTGGCTTTAATAAACTGTTGTTTGTTTATACTTACGCAAATTGATTAATATACAAACTGTACACAATCCCTTGCACACTACAGTTCCCTCTATACCCGGGGGCAAGTGAGAAAACCATAAGGAGTGGGTGGCAGGTACGGTTCACTGTAGTGAGGGCCTTGAGCCCACCAGTGTGATCGGAAACCACCACTCAAGGTGATAACCTTCCTCTTTTGGCAACAAGACTGACTACGGCCTTTGTGCTAAGCATAGTCGGACGGCTGGAGAGTGGGGACCCTATAATGGGGGCACCTTGGGGGCCTTAGCCTGGTGAGAACAGTTAGAACCAACCCTTGCCAATGCACTTTTCTGTAGGAGAACCCTACCTCGTGATAAAAACGAATTCTCGCCTGTTCGTGGATGATCGAATTGTGTGTGCATATGTTTGTTGTATTTGTCTGTTGCATAGCGTAAACCAACAACAAAACAAAAATCACAAAAATATTTTCGCAAATAAACACCCTTATCTCGGACAGTCTGCCTTTTAGCTAGTCTGGTTTCAGGTTCTTTGTAAGCTAAGTAGCCACACAGTTCCGACAGAAGAGATAAGGGACGTTAAATATTTGTTCGCATAAAGCCATATTTTTATCTCGGACAGTCTGCCTTTTAGCTAGCCTGGTTTCAGGTTCTTTGTAAGCTAAGTAGCCACACAGTTCCGACAGAAGAGATAAAAGGCTATAAAATAAAAAGCAATAAAAATCAAAATAAAAATCCAAAATAAATAAAATAATAACAATAAAACATTTATAAAAATAATCTTGACAAAGTCGTATCATTCATATCGCATCATGTTATGAGTGGAAAAACCAAGAGAGAAAAATAAATGCATAAGGAAAGTATGCATACGCACCATTTTAATAAATCCCTAAAAACTGGGTCTTAGGAGCGTTTTTTTGGGAAAATTATTGGGCCAAATCCCCTTTGGGTATTTGCAGCTTGGTTCTTCACCCTTTTCTCTTCGTTTTGACATGCTGTGCGTCCAAATCGGACAACCCAGTCAAAAGTTATGTCACTTTGAACATCTATCGCCCTTTTGTACTGGTGCATGCATAATAACATTCATTCTAGGGAGCACTAGATATCCCTAAGACAATGGCGAAAGAGGCCCCGAGCACATTTGTGACCTTCACGACAAGGAAGGGACAAATGTACTAAGGTGTGATGGTGATTGCCATTATACTTGTCAAATCTGTGATGGGGAAGGAACCATTACACCGAGGTGGGTAGGATACCCCACAAAGCATAAGCTTTAAGGAGGATACCTAAGCCATTGTCTTAAGGAATATCCATCTCATAAATCATTCCTTTTAAACAATAAAAATCTTTTTGCATTCTAGAAAGCAGCTGGTATTCTTCATGCCCTCATCCGCATACAAAAAAAAAAAAAAAAAAACAAAAATCCAAACACTATCATACATCATGTCAGAAAATAAAACATGAGCTTCATCCTCATGCATCTAATAATAGACAGTCGAGAAAGTGGACATTCCTCAATACCGTGTAAAGAGGATAGAGCATTTGCACGGGAAGTCAAAAAGAAATTAAATAAAAATATTTACCCGCCTATGAGTTCATTTAGGCTTTTCTGCTTTTTTTTTTTTTAAAAAAGAAAAGAAAAGGAACTTCGAAACATTACATTGAGGAATATACACTGTCTAGATGAAATAAATAAAATTGTTTGGTTTCATCATCTCAACCGTCTATTGCATTCATGAATTGCATTCATAAATTGCATTCATTCTCACTTTAATAATGATAAGATAATAAAAAGAAAGGATTAGTCGATGTGCTTTCCACGAATCGAAGTAGGATAAGAAGCAAATCTTTTGTCGTCAAAGTTATCTCCAACGGTTGATCCGCCTAAGAAGGATAATAAGCCTCAATCGTTGGTCATCTGAGTAAATAAGGAAGAAGGGGCAAGGATGTCATTACATTTTGTTCACGCCTCGAATCGAATAAGGTTGTACCGTGGAGATAGGGAGAACATTCACTAAAAGAGGATATCACAAATATAGCCGGTATTGGGGGCATGACTAGAAGTGGAAGAATCTACTCCCCCAAGGACTCACAAGAAGATATCCCCAAAAAGGAAAAATAAAAAGACCGAAGAAAAACATAATCCAAAAAGGAAATTGAAGAGACTTTGGATTCATGACGCTGAGGCAATTCACGACGCTCCGCCAAAGAGACAAGCTCAGGGTAGGCGACAAGCTAGTCATAGTTTGAGCTAGAGACGACATTCGGATCAGCAAGTCTTTTGCCCTACCTTGAATGGATGCGGCTGAATTAAAATATCTTTTGCCAATACGAAAAGACTTCCCCAACAATATGAAGGTGACCCACATGATGAGAAAATATGGATATCGCCCAAACCAAGGGCTCATTAGAAACTCTCAAGGAATAAGGGAGCCACCAGATTTTAAAGACAATCCTTTAAAGCATGGCCTAGGGCATGTCCCTACAAAGGATCAAGCTACATGGAGAAAAGGGAAGTCTCTCCTCTGCAGCTCGAATCAGATTTTCCCAAACAGAGGGGTTCAAACGTCAAAAGCGACTTTAGTCATTAGGTGTTCTCCTTCTGATTCTTAGGATTTGTAAATCCAATGACTATTAGAGATTACTCCTCGGGGCTAGCCCGACCCCCGAGCATTGTAGGGCACATATTTCCCTATTAATTACAAAGAATGTCATTCTTACTATCTGCTTCTCTTCTTGCTATTCATGTCTAAACCTCATTAATAACCATGTTTAAGCAAACATTTTCAAAATGCGTCAAAGTAATCAAAATGCGCCATTGACCAAAATAAAAGTCAAATCCATCACTACTGATTGACTAGAAACACAAAATAAAGTTTTACCTCGTCATAAATAAAGCAGTGTTTCGCCAATGTTGTGCAAAAAGAAAAAAAAAATCAAAAGAAGCCCATAAAAGCTAAAGGCCAAAAGAAAAAGGCAAGGTACCCAGTAGGAAACCCACCAAAGGGGGCTACGTAAAAGTTAGGGTAAACCCGCTAGGAAACCTGAACAACCATAAAGAGTAGCCTATGCAAAAATTAGGGTTACAAAATAAAGTCCGCTAGGTTTCCCAAAGCAAGAAAAATGAAACCTAGACAAAAGTTAGGACATAGCACAACATCCTAAGCTGAAAACCTAAAGGGCAGACTAGGGAAGTCAATCAGTCATAACAAGCGCCATAGAATAAGACGCCACTCCATAAACAAAACGTTTGTCTAAACTAGCCTAAACACTCTAACCAACCTTGGCTAGCCGTGCTTACAGAAACCATTTTTGTCAAAATAAAATAATTCTAAAACACAAGCCTTTGAATT